CTAGAGCACCACATAATCGATCCTAATATAAAATAAAATAAAAATATTCATGTGAAGATCATGAAACAACTTGCATTGAGACGTCTCCAAAAGTGTAATGATAAATTATAATGATCAAAAAATACTGCCCATAAAAATAATTTGACATTAATTGATTGTATTTCATCTTCTGCAGTTTCATTATTTTCATCAGCCTACAAAATACAAATAAATAATATTCTTTTTTATATTATTAATTCAATTTACTGATCGATAAATTTCATCCAGAGCACATCCAAAATCTTGTTGAATACATTCAAGAAAAAGATTATGATTATAATTCTAAATTCAAAGAAAATAGTTTTTAGTTTTATTTTAACATTTATTTTCTTCTTCTTCAAACCATTTTTGTACTTAATTCACATTCAAATTTTTCGCCAAGATTATCTGATGTGATACCACAAGTATCTTCTAATACATGAAGAAATTCTACTTGATCTCGTATGATTGCCATTTTAGCTAATTGAATTAAATCCTATAGATGATTTTCATTCTATTAGTTAAAAACTAAATTTAAAATAATATTTTACTTCTTCAGGCATATCTTGATTTGCACGTAACATTCGACTTGCAAATTTTGGTTGATTTAAATCAAAAGCTAATGACAGATGTAATTTTAATGATGATAAACGTTGATTTTGATTTGCTGAAAAAACTGAAAGATTCAATTGAATTAATTTAATGATTTCTATTAACCTGTTACTAATGCTTCAAGAAGATATAAAGAAAGATCATCATCTTCATCACAAACACGTATTTTTTTACATCGAGTTACTGCCAAATAAGTGATTAATTTTATTAAATCATCAGTTAAATCATTGCCAAGTAATTGATTAACAAGTACTTTTAATTCTCGAAGAAATGTTGGTGTTAATAGACTAAAATATATATTTTCTTAATATATATATATACATATATATTTTTTTGTTAACTTTACTTTTGTTCAGAACCTTGTGTACATGTTCCACCACCTCGAATCTTATCACAAACCCAAGCAAGTATATCAGCCAATCCACCAGAACCCTTTAAATTAGAATATTTGTATATCAAAAACAAAACATAGATTCAATTCTATGTCAACTCACTCGAATAATAACCAGACCAAATTTTCTTCGATCAATTTCAGCATTTAATAAACGATGAATTGGTTCAACATTATCTACATCACCACCGTAGAGTAACATTATTTTTGGTACACTAACTATTAAAATATAATTTTTGTATTTCTTTAAATATTAAACAAATTGTTAAACATACCACTTTCACTTTTATCATTATCTCGTACTCGTCCTATTTCTTCTACACATTTTTGTAATATTGTACGTCGATCAGTTAAATCTTCTTGTTTTCTTCCATATAAAATAACACGTGATAAACGTTTATTTAATATACGACTTGAATTTGTACAACTATTTGTTATTAATTCATTTTTTATTTTATCTTGAGATTTATCCGAAATTGCATCAACAAGTGTTTGATAATCATACGGAGCTTCTTCTAACTAGAATTACATATAAGAATATTTTTTACTAACAAAATCTTATTTTTCTACCAAAACAGATGAACAAACATCAATACCAATTGTAACAAACCGTGATAATGGTATATCATTAGCTAAATATTGTTGTCTTGTTATTTGAATGATACGTCCAGCAACTGAATCCTATAAAAAATATATAAACAAAAAATATTATGCATAAAAAATTCAACAATTTTCATACATGTCGAAGGTTACTAAATAACCATGGAGCACCTTGGTCATCACTCAATTTATTTCGTCCTACATTAAATTAACAAAACAATTATGTACATATTAATTCATACAAAGTCCTTATAGAAATCACTATACATACCAATATCTAGAAGTAATTTTGCAACTGATGTTGAGAATTGTTTTTCATTGAAATCATTGGATCGTTCACTAGAATTATTAATACCACCTTCTAGTACAATAATTATTTTTGGTGATGGTACATCCGACATTTTATCTTGAAATATTGTTTGCATTGCTTGCCCAACATCTTCATCTTGATCAAAATAAGCTAACTAAATAATATATAGAGCGAATAAAATAATTCTGAAATAAAGTTTAAACAAACTTGAGCTGATTTATGTCCACCAGGTTTAAGTGCTACACGAGAAAATTTAACATTTGCCATTGCTGATGGTATATTTTCGTCAGCAGCTGACACTGGTAACGACGACATAAAAAAATTAGTTTCTGAAAAATAAAAACGATGTGAATATAATTTATTTTCTCTGTCCTTCTATAATTATCGAAGGTGAGTGGAGTCAGTACATTGCTTTGATGCATCATAACTCCATGTGACAAACAACGTGAAGAAAGACAGATATATATCAGTTGATAACAAACCAATCAACATTTTTGTTCGTATGATATAACACTCTGATAAACAAATATTCAATCAATCGAAAGAAAAAACGTATAAATATATATTTGTGGACTCACTGCTATCATCCGGTGTGGTCTAGTGGTTAGGATTGGACGCTCTCACCGTCTAGGCCCGGGTTCGATCCCCGGCACCGGAATCTTCTTTTTTTTCCTTCTAATTCTACGTATTTATATTTTTTATATTTTATGCGATCGCTTTTACTTATATCTCAATATTTAATAAACCATTAATCTTTCTCGAATGATTTCATGAATAAAAATAAATCTTTATTCAAAACAATAGGTGTCACTTTTATTACTTTCCCCTAGTTGGTTGTTAATCTAATACAATAGGAAAAAAATAACTTTTACGTAGGTTTTTACTAGCAAAAAACAAGATTATTGAATAAACAATGAATCTAAATGATGATCAAATAATGTCATCGAACACATCATTACATAGATTGTCTTTATCACCTTCCACAAATCCGGATTTAGATGATACTGACGATGGAGGTGAAGATGTTGAGGAGGATTGTCTTGATTCAATTAATGAAATTCAACATATTATTCAAACATTTGGTAAAGATGATTGTTCGACATTATCAATTGATTATTATGATTCACGTCGTCATGAAATAATGTATGAAATAATAAATATTGAAAGACAATTTGAAAAATTAAAAAATATTTTATATGAAGAAAGTATTTTATTAATCGATAGAAAATTAATATCAATACAAAATGAAGAAGCACCTGAATATCAGCATGAATTAAAAAAACTCTATGATGAAATGAAATTACAATTAGAAGTAGCGAAACAACGACGTGAAATTGAATTACAAGCTTTAGATAATTCTACAAAATCCGAATTATTAAGTTTAGAACAAACTTTAGAAAATGATAAACTTCTTCTATATCAAAATATGCATGAAGATATTCAACAACAAATCGATGAATTTGAAACATTAAAAACAAAAGCACATTTATGTGCAAATATTTTACATGAAATTTTTCCAACAGACGAACAACGACAATCAATATCATCAAATAAAAAACGTTTTGATTCATCAGAATCAACAAAACCTAATACAAAAAAACGACGTGTAAATGGTAGAATAAAAACTAATGAAAAAGATAATCTTGCAATTTTTTATCAATTATCCGATATTAATGTGATAGAAGATTGGGCACTTATACAAACATC